CAAGCTGCAAGAACTTGGCGCATCAATACTATAACTGTTAATGCTATTATGTCCATGTTACCTAACCTATAATGTTTTAATATATATGTACGGCAGCTGGGATAGAGAAGGGAATCGCTAAGTCAATGATGGTTGGACGGATAACTCAGGATGGAAGATGTGTGCTGAAAGCAGACCTGAAAGGACCAAAGTTGATGGCCTCTCATTATCTGTAGTCTGTATTGCAAACCATAATACCCATTAAGTAGAGAGAGAGAGTAAGAGGGCAATTGTCTGCCATAGAGGCAGGGGGAGAGGTGGGATGGGAGGGATACTGGGGACATTGGTGGTGGAAAATGTAACACTGGTGGAGGGATGGGTGCTCAATCATTTTATGACTGAAACTCAAACATGAAAGTTTTGTAGCTGTAGCTCACGGTGATTCCATTTAAAAAATTAAATATACAAATGTGTACATAGAGATTTCATTACGCTGCTTTACTGTGCACTCATCAATTCAAAACTGTATAGCCAGTAGAGAGTAGAGCTCCTTTCTTCTGCAGCCTCAAAGCCAGGTAAAAAGTGACAGCTGGAAGAAAGTCCTACTTGCTGTCTGTTGACACAAACACACACTTAAAACCCCAACAATGCACTCTGCCTAGATTCCAAGATTTTAGGGTGTCCTTTAGCTACTTCCTAGCAACAGCTATTTGATTGTTAGCCCCTTAAAAAGATAATTTCTGTTTTCCTGCTAACAAATCCCTATAATGATTTCAACTTCCTTGGGAGAAATAGGGTTGGTTCGATTTTTAAAAGGGCATATTTCACTATAAGAATATTAAGTTTAGTGGAGTTCATGCCCAATTCAATCAGCTAATCAGTGGCTGAATAAATAGCAGTACTCCTACATTAAAAAAAAGAATATTAAGTTTATCAGTTTCGCAACAAAAAAATATATATTTAAGTTCAAATAGGGTTTACAAAAATAAACTCTTTATAATACCTATAAAGCTTCTGATTAATATCACATCTACTGAAATGACAGCTCCCATAAAAGTCACTGTAATATCAATGACAGCCTTAAAAGAAATTGTTGTAGATGATTTTAAAAAATTATCATAAGCAAGCAGCACTCTCAGATTTTTTTTTTCCTCTCAGAGTACAAAAGATAAATACAGAAGAAAAAAAAAGGCCATAGAGGAAGCAACAGCTTAACAATGCTGGTTCTAAAGTCTATCACTACAGGTAATTTTCTATATCTTGCTTAAATTTTCTGTAATAAACACACACTTCCTGCATAGAAGCTTTTTTTTTTCTGGCTTTTTGGGTCACACCCAGCAATGCACAAGGGTTACTCCGGCTCATGCACTCAGAATTACTCCTGGCGGTGCTTGGGGGGCCTTAGAGGATGCTGGGAACTGAATCCGGGTCGGCTGCGTGCAAGGCAAACACCCTACCAGCTGTGCTGTCTCTCCAGCCCCTAAGCTTTTTTTTAAAGAGCACAGAATTTTGAATCAAAGAACCCGTGTTTGAATCCATGTGGTGCCACTTTCTGGCTCTGTGAATCGGGGCTAGATAGCTAATTCCTGTAAGCCCCATCTCTTTGCCAGAGGAAAGCTCTGAGTACTACATAGATGGGGCCTGTACAAGAAGTCTAACACCATCCCTGGCATATAAGAAAATGGTGGCTTTATTTATTCCTCTACCCTGCAGTCTGGGTCTATAAGAACTTTTTAAGGGTTTAGTCAATTAAGAATTATCACACTGGGGTTGGAGAAAAGAGTTCCAAGGGCTGGAATGTGATGCACCTAGATTCAACCTCCAGCACTAAATGGTCCCCTGAGCATGACCAGGAGCACTCTGGCACTGAAATGGGAGTAGGTACAACCCTCACAAATAAATGAAATATCCCACAAAATACTCATATTCTTTTATCTGGCTATTCTTCTAAGAATTTAGAGAAGAAACTACAAGAAGAAACTAGATGTATTTTAATCTCCAATCATTTCACCCCAACTAATAAACCTAGTAAACTTTGGAAGGGCCAGAAGATAGTATAATGGTTTAGAGTCCAAGCCTCCATTCTTGGCACTACATGGTCCCTGATGCACTGCCAGGAATAATCACTAAGCACAGAGCCAGGAATAGTTCCTGAGCACACTTGGCCCAAGAACTTGGTAACGTAACAAAGAACTGCTGGTCATTTTCATTCCTTTTAGTAGTTATCCAAGTTTTCCTTTAAAATAAAATTATGTTTTACCTCCAATAAAATTTTGAAATGATTTTTTTTTAGTTATACTTTTCATTTTCCCTTTAAGGAAATTCAGAGTGGAGGATGTAGCCCAGCAGTACAGCCCATATCTTGTATGTGTGATGCCCTGGTTTTGATCCCCAGCAGTGAAAGAGAGGAAAGAAAATTTCTCTCAGTGGTGAAATTCTTTCAACTTCACAGCAAATAGGCACCCTGTAACAGAAGCACCTACTAAGATGGTCAGGGGTCCTGAGTCATCCACTTTGCACGGAATGAGGATTTAATTAACCCTGTCTTGAAAGACCAACTGCCGGAAGCAGTTTCTTCAGACACTCAACACTTTAGTCCAACACCCCGACAGGGTTAATTAATTCTAGGTGCTGGTGTAAAAAAGATTCATCAGCAAACCTGTGAGTTAAAAAATCTAATTATGGTTTCAGTAAAGATGACTTCTACTTGTCGCCTTGCCCTCTAGGTTTGGATTCCCCATTCACAGAGGAGACCAAGATTCAAGTTCCTCGGTAGACATGCCACAGGTAGGAAGCACAATAAATACCCTGCTTGTGGAAATCCAATGCAGGTTTACAGGATAAAATGAAACTAGACTTTAAAAAACTTATTATGATGAAAATACATCTCCTGAGAGACTTCAAATTCTGCTGCCAGGAGGACTAGCATTCTGGCTCTAAAACCACCAAGAATCTATTACGTTCATGTATTTATAGATTATATATATATGTATATTTTGCAACTTGATGTACTGCTCCTATAAATTAGTCTTATTTAAAGTGTTAGTGCTCTCAGATGACTGGTTAAAGAAACTTTGGTACATCTACACAATGGAGTACTATGTAGCTGTTAGAAAAGATGAAGTCATGAAATTTACATACAAGTGGTACAACATGGAAAGTATCATGCTAAGCGAAATGAGTCAGAAAGAGAGGGATAGACATAGAAAGATTGCATTCATCTGGGGGATATAAAGTAACAAAATAGGAGATTAATACCCAAGAATAGCTGAGATCAGCACCAAGAGGATTACTCCATAGCTTAGTGGCCAGCCGGGCATTCTAAAGGAAAGGGCAGCTCAGATAGAGAAGGGAGCACCAAATAAAGTGTGTTTGGAGGATCCTCCCAGGAGGGGAGATGCATGTCGAAAGTGGACTATGGACTGAACATGTTTGCCACTCAATGCCTCTTTTGCAGACCACAACACCCAAAACGAGAGAGAGAACACAGGGGATTGCCCTGCCACAGAGGCAGGGGGGGATGGGGGGATGGGGGTGGGGGGGATACTATCTACGGTGGTGGAAAATAGGCACTGGTGGAGGGATGGGTATCTGATCATTGTATAATCGAAACCCAAGCACAAAAAAATAGTAAATCTACAACTGTACCTCATGGTGTTTCACTAATAAAAAAAATAAAAAATTTAAAAAATAAATAAAGTGTTAGTGCTCTCTTGACACATTTTCAAGAGAATATTAGCAGGTAAAAATAAACAAGTAGGACTCGGGTGGGAGGGAGAGAGACAGACAGACAGACAGACAGAGACAGAGAGAGACAGAGAAGAAAGTTGCCTGCCATAGAGGCAGGCTGAGCTGGGAAAGGTGGGGGTAATACAGGGGGAACTAGGGACATTGGTGGTGGGATACGTACACTGCTGGAGGGATGAGTGTTGGAACACTGTATGACTGAAGCCTAATAACGAACAATTTTGTAAGGGTGTATCTCAAGTGATTCAATTAAAAAAATCTTTTTGAAAAAAGAAAAGAAACAAATAGAAAATAAATACACATGGGAAAATTCACAAAGCTAATTGTTTCATTCAAAAGTCTTATTTTTTTATTTTGGTTTTGGGTTTTTGACTAGGTATACCCAAGGCTATCTATATATAATCTGCAAATAAGATGGGTAATACTAGACCATTTTTCCTAGTTACTATGAGGGAACTAAACATACCAGTACAGAGGAAGGTACGAGCCTCTGAGGCAAGTTCTGCCCATTATTTGTAATAATCAAATCTCCTACTCATAATGAGGCGCGTGCACATAAGATAAGTTAATGCTGAGACTCTCTAGTAACTACACCCATGCATAAGCATCCACTGAGAGATGGTCACCACCATGATTCAGCTTGGTGCTATCCACAGAATGCCTTGCTGGGGAGGTGTTCTGCTACCATCAGATCTGAGAATGACTGATAAAAATTTGGCAATCATTTTAATTTTAGACCAGTTGGTTTCTCAAAAACTCCTCTTTGTAAACGGGGTTATTTAATTAGTACATTCTATCCATGGCAATCTAAAAAGTTGTTAATTTTGAAATCCTGGTTATAACTCCACCTACTAAACAACATATATTTAATACTCTAATTATTCTGGTGGGCTGGAGCGATAGCACAGTGGGTAGGGTGTTTGGCTTGCATGCAGCCAATCCAGGTTCGATTCCTCCATCCCTCTCGGAGAGCCCGGCAAGCTACCTAGAGTATCCCGCCAGCATGGCAGAGCCTGGCAAGCTCCCCATGGTGTATTCAATATGCCAAAAACGGTAACAATAAGTCTCACAATGGAGACATTACTGGTGCCCGCTCAAGCAAATCGATGAACAACGCGAGGACAGTGCTACAGTGCTACAATTATTCTGGTCAATTTTTTTTAATTACAGAAAAATTTTCTTTGGAGAATTACCCAAAAAGAGATCATCTGAGGGTATCAGAAAACCATAAAGAAGAGAAACTAAAATAGTTTGGGTGGTAAAAAGGAACCTACCGTTTTCAATCTTGCTTTTCGGATGTGGTCCACTGAACGCTAAAAATTTTCCTGGAACAATCCAGTTGAAGTCACCATTCTCAACTCGCTGGAAGAACAGTTATAAGAAAAGAGAAGAAACTGTGTTTATAAGTTTCATAGAATGCAAAACAAAAAAAAAAAACAGAAATAAAACTGCTTTTCACTCTATTAGTACTGAACTAAATGGACATTTAAGAAGTCAAATAACAGGGGCGGGAGCGATAGCACAGCGGGTAGGGCATTTGCTTTGCACGCGCTTGACCCAGGTTCATATTCCCAGCATCCCATATAGTCCCCTGAGCACCTCAGGAGGAATTCCTGAATGCAGAGCCAGGAGTAACATCTGTGCATTGCCGGGCGTGACCCAAAAAGCGAAAAACAAAAAAATTAAGAAGTCAGACAACACAGCTTAAAATAAAAAGACATCTAATTCTCAAAAATGATACCAAGGAATTCAATTTGCTACCAAAACATTTTCATCTACACTCTATGAAGTTTAGAAAACTTGGGGCTGGAGATATAGTACAATGGGTAGGGTTTTCGCCATGCATGCAGCCTTCCTGGGTTCATTTCCCAGCATCTCAGTGGTGGTCCACTGAGCACCACCAGGAATAATTTCTGAGTGTATGGGGGTATGGTGACACCAGCAGGTCAAGCTGTACCTGTGAGGCAAGTTCATCAGCAGCCTGATGGCGCCTTCAGACTTCCAGATACCCCAAAATAGCTGCTGTGTCTCTGGTCAGACTCCAAAAACTTGGGGCAAAGTTTACCAAGAAAATAAATGGCCAAAAGTTAGGCATGTGGGAGCCACATCCACAAACCACCTCGGGCTCAGCTATGTAATTGGAGGCATGGCCTCTCTGGTCTCTGATCAAACTGCTTAACGGCCATGATCCCAGAGACTCAGAACAAATCTTGAAACCCAACAGCTTTTGGAAGAAATGCGTCCGGTCCCTGCAGTAGGTTACCAGTACTGGGCCAACCCAGATGGGAATAGGTTTCATGCCTTGGTGTGCTCCCCCTGGCGGCCTAGTGGCCGCCATCCTTCAGAGGCCACTGGACAGTCAGGTTTGAGCCCGTAGTGAAGAGACACACAAGGCCTCATGGGATGGGGGTGAAGCCGGCCCTTTCCTCCCCACCCCAACGAGACCCCGAGTCGCCACACACGAACGTCCTCTCTGGCTCCTGATCAAGCTGCTTAATGGCCATGATCCCAGAGACTCAGAAACAAATCTCGAAACCCAGCGGCTTTTTGGCAGAAATGCGTCTGGATCCCACGATAGGTTACTGTCACAGGGCTACCCAAGAGGGGAAAGAGTGCTGTCCCTCCTCCTGATCCCCCTAAGCAGCTCGGTGGCTGCCATCCTCCAGAGGCCATTGGATAGTCAGGTTTGGGACCTCAGTGACAAAACATGCAGGGCCTAACAGGATGGGGGTGGAGCTGGCCCTTTCCTACCCATCCCAACGAGACCCCGAGTTGCCGCCCATCAACGGCCTTTCTGGCTCCTGATCAAGCTACTTAACGGCCATGAACCAAGAAACTCAGGAACAAATCTCGTAACCCAGCAGGTTCTGGCAGAAATCCCTCCAGATTTAAGTGTTAAAATTTCAGAATTTCAAAACCGCACAGTCACTACTGCAGCCACGCAACATCATATGTTATTCTTAACCAGCAATAGAAAACAAATTGTCTACTGTTGCCTTTTCAGCAGATCTGAGTTCCGGGGTAAAATCCCAAATAACTATGGTGGGTCTGGTGTCAAAATATTGAATGTGATCAAAGTAGAGAGAGAGAGTAATGTGGAAATCATCTACCCCACAGGCAGGGGGAGGGTATGGGATGGAGTACACTGGGGTTTTTGGTGATGGAGAATGGGCACTGGTGAAGGGACGGGTGTTTCATTGTATGACTGAGACTTAAACCCGAAAGCTCTGTAACTGCTCTCACGGTGATTCAATAAATAAAATTATAAAAAAATGTAAGGTGGAGTTCATGCTCAATTTAATCAGTTAATCCATGGCTGAATAAATAGCAGTACTCCTGCATAAAAGAATAAATAAATAAATAAATAATTTCTGAGTGTAAAACCAGAAGTAATCCCGGAGCACAGTCACTGAGGCCCAAAACCAAACGAACAACAACAAAATATAAAATAAAATTAGAAAACTTAAAGTGTAGGTATTTTCTTAAAATGGTTTTGCCTCCCAGCCACTCTACCATGAAATGACAAGCAAAGAAATACTGCTTATCCCCTAAGTGGGAGGAGTCTATGCGGTAGCAGCACCAAACCCAGAAGAGCCTTTGGTACGCAAAGCACGTGCTCCCGACGCCTCTTCTAACCGGAACTGCATGTCAGATCACTCTGAAATGTTGACGGGGGGGGGGGGGGGGGGGGGGGGGGGGGGGGGGGGGGGGGGGGGAATCAGAAAATATTAAGAAACCAATAAAAACAAATCAGGGCACAGACTATGATCCCCAGCATTGGCCTTAGGTCTACCAACTTAAAGACCAGGGAGGGGGTTGCATGTCCTCCTGGTACCCCACCTCAGCCCTATTTCTTCCCTTCCAGGGGTCCCCGGAAACACAGGTTTCACTGACACGTTTGTATCACCTGACAAAAGCCATGCCTTGCCCACTCCAGCCCCCCGCCCCCAGACAGAGGTTCTCGTTCTCATACGTGGGCTTCTCTACACTGCAGATTGTTCCCTGAGCATCCAAGGCAGCATCCCTCACCGGTCAGCCTCTGCCCATGTGGTCTGAGAAATGCCCTGCTGTGCCAGCAGCCTATCCCGGTTCAGGGCCTGCTGCCGCATATGGTCCCCCGAACACGGAGGTGGGAGTAAGCCCAAACCCAAAAGACAAAGAGTCTTCTGTCCACGGGGTGGTGGAGCTCAGTGGCAGGATGAGACAGGCAAAGTCTGCGCCTCACTGAGAGTGCAGGGAAGTGTTTGTGGAATCCCAGCCCTGCCATTAAAGAAGGCAGAGTCTCTAATTATTTAAACTACTCATCATCAAACCGTAGCTGAACGTTCATGTTTAAAAACAGGTTTTTTGGCCAGAAAGATAGTACAGGGATTAGGTGGTCTTGCACAGTCACCCCCAGTCCCATTCCCAGCACCATTTGGTCTCCTGAGCACGATGGAGCAAGTCCAGAGCACAAAGCAGGGAGTACTCCTCCGGTCCTTCTGGATGTGACCCCAAAAGCCACCAAATAGTAAAATAAATAAAAATAAAATAATGTTTCTTTTCAGTTTAAAAAATTACAATAAACCAAAACTTTACCCAACATCCTATAAATGGTCTAAATTGCATTGATATGGTTATAATTAACAAAATAACTCTGTAATAAACTAAATTAAGAGATACTATGAATGGCTTGAGATTTACATGCCAAAGTAAATCTCAAACATACTTACTAATAGGGAAAATTACTCTGGTACATAGCTCTTTATAGTGACTATTTTCTAATTTAAATAACAGAGCCATATTATTACAACCACCCATGTAATTGTAAATTGAGAACAATAATTTAAAATTTCAAAATAAAGGTATTTTCTAATCATCAAGGCTAACCCTAATTATGAAGAGTTAAAGGAAACAGGTTTCTATGTTCACTGTTTCTGTATCCTTGGCCACTGTGTCTAGATAAGCACAGTGTGCTGCCAGTTTAGACTGGGAGGACTCATCTGGTTAAACAGTAACCAGTCATACTTAATCATATGGAGAAAGGCAATGAATTCACTAACATACACTAACATTCACTAACATAAGAAACTAAAATAACCCAAAGAAGGTGCTTGCCAGTCTGCCTACCTAACAAGATGAACATTAGATAATATCGGGCTATATTAAGCAACTTGGATAAGACTGAGGGAATGAAAGAGATTTGGGTCATGGATTATAAAACCTGGGAAAAAATTATAAAGTTACAGATGCAGACTGATGCAATATAAACAAAATCTTACTTTAATAAACTTCCAGAATTATTGTCTGTGTCTTCTTTCATAGTGAGTTAGATACACAGAGATCAGTATTTATTTTAAAATAGAATATTAAAGATGATACAAATTCTTTTTCTAACTAAGCAAACACACAAAGACATTTCAAATAAATCTACATCAAGACAGGAACTTAGGGTTCTTTCTGCTCTCCCATGTTTTATGAACAAACAATGAAACAAGGAAGAGGCAAGAGGAATATTTTTACCCCACCCTTTATCAAAAGAGAGATGCCCACCAAGTACTCTCTAGAAAAAAAATATAAAAAAAAAAAACAAAAAGACATTGGTGGTGGAAATGTACACTGGTGAAGGGTTGGGTGTTAGAACGTACATGACTGAAACCCAATCATGAACAACTTTGTAACTGTATCTCACTGTGATTCAATAAAAAAAAAAAAATTTAAATAAAATAAAATCTGAATTCCTAAAGCTGATTAAACACCTTTGTTCTATAATCCTTCTGTCTACAAAAGATTCAGCAGACATCTCTGGAACAGTTCATTCCCGTGGTACATTTAAAGTGTATCATTTAACTTTAAATTGGGGGTGTGGCAGGCAGAGTCACATACAGCCCATTATCGGGTCTTACTACTGCCTCTGCACTCAAGGATCACTCAGAGGATGATATGGGATGCCAGAGATTAAATGCATGTTGGCTACCTGCAAAACAAGTGCCCTACCTGCTGCACGATCTTTCTGACCCTTTAAGTTCTTACAACTTAATTGAATACATCTGTGGTAGTGGTACTGACCTCTACTGTAAGTCACAGATATATTTTTCGGTTTTTAACAATTAAAAGCATTTGTTCCTTCTATCATTGTAATAAACCAAGGAAAGAGAAAAGACTTGCTTGAGTCTGAAAATTATGGAATTGACCCTCTTAATCCAGAAATATCGTTTTCTTTGGAGGATGGGAGATGAGTGAACACCCAGCAGTGCTCAGGGGCTATTTCTAGCTCTCTGCTCAGTATCGACTCCTGGTGGTCCTCGGGGGACCGTATGTGATGCAAGATATTCAATCTGCATACAATGCACGCACCTGACCTATACTATTTCTCTGGTCCC